CTGCAGCTTTTACACCACTTGATTTATTGTGATTATCTCACAACTATAATCAAGTGTGACAAAATCTAACGTTTCCTCTTTATCCAAAGAAATCCATATACGGAGAGTACTTAATTATGCAATGCATTTGGTTATCTTATCTTAGTTACTTTATATTTATTGTATTTTTTGCTTGTCTGATTTACCACATTCGTGAGTGATCCCACTCTTTGGTGAACATAGTGTGGTGATGTGTTATCTCAGAGCTGTGAAGGACTGCTGTTGCCGCTGCTGTTCAGGCACACATTTTAAATTCAAATGTTCTTACTCATCAATGACAAGTGCCACATGGATCAGAAACATTATGGTCTGTGTCTGCTGGTGAGTTATAGGCAGAGAAAATCTGTGTGACAGCAGGACAGTGCCACAGGGTCGGCTTGAGTCTGCCCCAGGGCAGCCCTAACTACAGTACTGGCTCACCATCAATGTTTTTTATTCCCAGTGCCAAACTGGGAGCATTCTCATACTATCACTGTGTATTCACACTTGCATTAAGAATGATATGAGAAAAGATGTACGTTTTAGTAATGTTCCATAAGTAGTAGTAACAGTAGTAGTAGTAAACGGTATCAAAAACGTTCAATTTGATGTACCAAGTGATCTGGTGGGGAATTGAAAAAAAAAAGTTTTATTTATTATATTGCCGTGACCAGCTCAAGATTTGAGTTTGTTTTGGTTGTACTATATTGCAGTTGCTTCTTTCAGAGTGAATATAAAAGATTTAACTAATAGATTTGCTTCCGTTGAGAACATACGATAGTTTGCTAAATGGCCTTTGAGACCTTCTTCTATCACATTACATTCAATACTCCTGAGCTACACTTCAGTGAAATTGACATAGATATAGAATAGATATAGAATGTGCTTCCATTTGGAAAGGCCTTGTACAACGTCTTCCTGTGTCCTTTCAATCCATATTGTACATTAGCAGAAGCTTGATTTAGAGATTTTCAGCTGTGAAAGTGAAGCAGAGCTAAGATAAACGCCTCATGTTATATGATACCCATAACCGCCTCATGAGTAAATGTCAGAATGGTATAGATTTTGGAGGTAGTGGCCTACTAATGCCACTCATTCAGTGTCATACTGGATTAATTGAACGAGTTTCCGAGACATTTCACTTATAACGACCAGTGACGATTTGTTACAGCTTTGGCAGCGCTGTGGCTGAGTGGTTAGTGTTGCCCCACAGCAAGACCGGACATTGGTTTCCTACATCAACCAATCTGGTGAGAATGAGTGATGGTGGTGGTGATTGGAGGGGTATATGGTGTAGATTGGCAGCCTCACTTCAGTCTTGGGAAATGAGTTGATGACAATGATTATAAAAAGGTAAAAATTGGTGAAATCTCGAGCAAATTACCAAGGTCTTCAAAATCTGCAATTGTGTGAGCCCTTCTTCATTCAGCACGGAGTATAATGCCTTCAGTGTAGTGCTTTGGGAGGCTTCGTTAGGTCTGTAAGGCATGTTCAAGTCAGTCGAACCACCTTCTCATCAAGACCCAAGAGATGGTTGTGGATTTTAAGACTCAGAGATCTTTTCTTTTTTTTGTTCTTCACAGTGGGGAAATTTCAGTGTTGCATCACCAGTTACAAAACGGTAGGAATGAGGAGCACACAACACACATTAAATGAACATTAATTATATACTAAATAAAATAGAAATCTCTAACTCTAGCATGAATTAAGTAACAAGTACAACATCTCTACCTTTGGCATAATAAGAAGCACGTATAAAGCAGAGTTTAGTGCAAGTAAAATATAGGTGTATGTATACATCTTCACACGTTAGCTCAAAGATGGCCTCATAGACCTAGCTTGAAGCAGTTGTCTAGAATACCCGGCGTATTGTCATTTGAAGATAAAGTTAGATGTTTGCATGTTCTGTCTGTCCAGATCATTCCTTATCAGCAAGCTTAATAGACTGGAAGATCAAGAACATAAACAAAGATCAAGCTGAACTCCTCCTTCAGCTTTGATTATCGCACATTACTTGTATGTGGCTGTTGTAGTGTGTGGGAGGTGGGTGGAATAGCTTATCATATGGACATGTGTAGCAGACAACATCACACCTCAATTTTCTGTGTGAATTAATAGACCCAACACTATCTGAGTTGGCAGTGGCATTTTTTTTATTTTTTATGGGGCCTGACTGAGCAAGATAAAGCGGGAGAGTCGGATGCACAATTTGATGTCACTGCATGTTGGGTTAAGAAGGGGACACATGCGAACACTGCAGCACAGAGCTATAACCGCCCTCTCGGTGAAACTTCCGGCTTCCTGTGGTTTGGCTCATTGTGTCGCCTCGTCTATGCCGAACGTGCCGGAGGAAGGCAGTTGTTTGGTCGTCTGTAATGCAGCTGCAGATATTACAAGAACAAATCATTTAGAAGGATGCTCTAATTATGAGGTGGCCTGCAGAAACAACCTTGTGAAATTAGGAATGTTTACTTGGGTAGAGCTTTGCACATAGAGCTTTAAAAAGAAAGAAAATGGCTGTATTCAGTGACATTTTACGGAGGTCAAATGGGGATAAGGACCCAGACTGAACACATTTCAAAGTCACTGTACTCAATTACTGGTGAAAGTTCAGTTCAGTTTCTGTTTATCAATTTATTTCAGACATTTTTGACGATTCAAAACCAATTGCAGGCACTTGGGAAAGAAAAAAAGGTAAAAATAGGTCAAAAGTGAACGTTACCGTCACTTTCATAAATGTATACGTTTTAAGCTGAATCGATCGAAACACAAAACAAATGTGTTGATGTAGATCCTTTATTTGTCCCACAGTGGGGAAATTTCAATGTTGCTTCACCAGTTACAGACCAGTAGGAATGAGGAGCACACAGCACAAGATAAATGAACCAATGACTCTATATTAAATCAAATAAAAAATCTCTAATTCTAGCATGACGAAGAAAAGAAAAGTATAAAATCTCTATCTTTAGCTAAATTAGCACAAAAACTATGACTTAAGCATAATAAAGAAATATAAAATCTCTACCTTTGACCTAATAAAAAGAAAGTATAAAGTATTATTATATAGTTGTATGTTTACAGCTGTACATGTTTGCAGCACGACAGACTAGGACACAGTGACTAAGTAGAGAAACAATGGAGACATGTGGTTCTATAATGCAAATTCTGACTATTAAAGTTATTATTGCACAGATTAGTAAGTAAAGTATGTACATGTGCCGAGTACCTAACGATTGGTCTCTTTCAAATTTGTGGGATCACTTTTCAGATTAGATTCTTTTAGTCTGGAGAAGAAGACATCGCTGCAGCCTTATGGTTTGTTTATCGCATCTGTGGAGGGATGGGGAGGTTGAAAGAGGACACTGCTGCATTGTACCCTCCCGGTCTCTCAATTGTCTCATTTGGTCCCAGCTCGTAATGTCACATCGGGGTCAAAGTCGGGACAATGTGAGCTCGTCATACCTCAGCTTGTCTCTGGAGCGGACAGGTGATGCGGTGGGTTTGTTTATGAACCCTCCCCCTGTCTCCTGTGGGACGGTGAGTGAGGGATTAGAGTTGGATTTAATGGCTGCGGTGTAGGACTTAGCGCAGGGAGTGGGGCTGACTCTAATGCTCGACAAGAGGAACTGATTACACAGAGGACATAATGGCTTGTTTGATATCCGCCTGCTGTGTCGATAGTTCGATATATATCATGTGTTTAACGTGTCCGCAAAAGAGCGCTTCTTTGAAATGTTTATCGAGAAATTGTTTTTGGAACCTTATATAGTCTACTATATAGATTATATATTAAAATGTATGGAAAAACAATATACTCACTGACCTTTTTAGTATCTAAACAACTAATCAAAAGAGAAATCAGCCAAAATTTCTATATGATTGCTAATTAATTGCAATTTCATCCTTCAGGCCTCTATTTTGTGAGAACAAATTCTTACTTGTTCTCAAACACAGGAAGTTTAAACAAAAAATGCCCTCTTTAGATCAACACCCCAATGCAAAATCAAAAACTTGAATGATCCTAGAAGTGTCAGGGCTGAAACAACTACCGTTAATGGAGTTAATACTTTTCCTCAATCACATATTCATTTCACAAGGTAAAAACAGTTTAGAGTAACAGGTTACTCAAAAATCAAACATATAAATCAATATAATTCTGTATTACTAATATAATTGTTGGCTGCCGTGTCCTTTAAACAGTGTTGCTTTGTTGTCTCAGTTTATATGATTAGTATCTGAACAGACCCGAATGTTGTGAATTGGTGTACTCCTGCAGTTATAAGGCCACGCTGGTATTCAGGATAGATGACCGTCTTTACCCTCATAAACGTCTTGATCACACCAGCTGCACTCAGAGCAAGCTGCAGCCTTTGAAGCTGGCGAAAGGCAATCACCAAATCTCTCCCATGAATTATCTCCTGACTGAAGTATTGGGCATCAGATAGAGATAACTGCAGGAAATGTTTTGTCGTGCCAAGTGTTTTTGGCACGACAAAACATTTCCTGTAACATGGGATCATTCTGAACACATGTTTTTTCCAGATTGATAACAATGCAGTCTCATGTGTCATTGAACAAGACACTTTACCTTGACAGTGCAAGTTTTACTTTGCTGTAAACTCCTCGCCTCCAAATGTCACTGAAAGGTTAATGTTAACGGTGTCGCACATGTTTATCTCGATACTTTGAACTATAGTCTTTAACTATAGTCCAGATGGTCCTGGAAAAGTCCATTTATGGTCAACAGAATGGATGTCATTTTAAAAGTGTTTGCCATGCTTTTGGTCTGCAACATGGGCCCTCATACTCATAGGCTGCGGTCAGTAAATATACACAATATGTTGTTTGTGTATTCGGACCCACTGGGGCCGAGTGTCTGCTATCTCCTCTGCCCTGCTGATAGGTTTACTATGTCAATATTGTCTGAGTGCATGTAAAGCAGCCAACGAAGGTGTTTCTGATGTCTCCTGTCTTTTCTGCAGAGGGGCGTTTTCAGAGGTGGTAATGGCTCGAGAGAAGGCAACGGGGAAGATGGTGGCCATCAAATGCATCCCTAAAAAAGCACTCAAGGGGAAGGAGACCAGTATTGAAAATGAGATCGCTGTTCTCAGAAAGTAAGTATGATCCGTTGAAATAGAGTAATTTTATTCCGTACTTGAAATGGCAACGTTACCCAGACCAGTACATTCATAAAATTCATGGTGTGTTGGGTTCTATCAGTAGTAGCTTTTTATGTCTATATAATTGTCTATGCACCTTAAGTTACATTTAGCCAGATCAATCTAATATATATTTTAATTTGACATTCTATAAAATATTTCCTCCCCCTCTCCAGCTGTACAAGGCTGTGAAAATATATGTGTATAGTTTTTGTTGTTATTTTTCCCATTCATTGATCGCACCCCCCCCTCCCGCTGCCTGACAATCTGCCTCTCTGGCTATAAAGATACTGTTATTCTCTTGTCAATGGATCACAGAGCTAATGACACTACAAGCAGAAGTGTACACTTAAACTGATTTACAATGCCTGCACTAAAAAGCTACTTTATTGGTTCTGCTTTTCAGCAAATTCCTAGATTTGATCATGACTGCTATATTTGACACAAACACAAAATATCGCCGCACGGACCGAGATGTGATTTGCTTGTGTTGTGTTCTTTGTTGTGATGATGATGCAATAGGGAAGTGCCCAGTCTTTGCACAAATCCCCCCTTGCATCATCCAGTGAAAAGCCTCCTGACAGTGAACGCCTCAGTGGAGAATGGAGAGACAGATAGCCGTCAGTGTGCTTTACAATCACAGCCTTAAGAGATCGCTACTTGACTATGCTCCACTCCGGCCTCACTCATCAGCAGGTGACAGACCATGCTCTGCTGGTCCTCTGCTGGTCCTCCTCTGGTCCTCTGCTGGTCCTCCTCTGGTCCTCTGCTGGGGTCCACTGGGGGCCGAGCCCGCGAGCCGCTCACTTATCAGTCACTCCTGATATCCACCAGTTGTTGGGTGTAGTTGCCTAGATACAGTTGCTATGCCGTTCATTCTGATTTTTCTGTTATTGTACGTTCCACACCCGGATGGTATTCACGGTCTGTTTAATGTCAAGAATTCAGATGGATCCAAGCATTGTACTTTACTATTGATTATATATTCTCCAGAGATTATATATACAGTTTCTTGCTTACTTTGTTCAATCATACATTCTATAGTTTCTTGTTTAGCCTCTTTGTATCAAGTCGAGGCAGTAAGAAATATAACCCATACCCAATGTATGTTTCTCAAGAGTTATAGATTGATACGCTTTATGTCATGGCAATAGGCTATAGGCAAAAGTAATTAAACTAACAAGAGACTTTTTTTTCTCTTTAGATTATAACATTTCTATATGTTTTGGTAATCCAATAATGGTACAACATTTGATACTGGTTTTCTAATCTGGCCAGCACTGTTTCTTTTAATTTGATTTCACTCTAGTCTTGCGCAGCCACATCAGTCATGGAGGCTGATGACTGATCAATGCAAAAAAGAACATGCAAATTCCACAATTACGGAGTTCTGGAGGTGCAATCGAACCATCTTGTAGTGAGGGACAATTACAGAAATAAACAACATTGTGGAATCATGTAAAAGCACCATACTTTAGCGTACATTTTGTTCTATTATCTGGTGAAAAAAATACCATCTTAGTTATTAAACTATCTTAGCATTCTGTAACAATAGTTATAAAGTCAGGTTTGTCCTTAGACTTGTTTTTGTGCCTCCTCTCCTCCGCTGCCCTTCTCCACGCTCTCTGGCCGTGCGCACACAAAAGCTTGTCACTTGGTTGCCTGGACACAGATTCCTGGCATTTACATCTTTATATTAATTTCTTATGGTGCTGTTGCCAAAAGGGGGAGGGTGGCGTTGTGTCGTGGAGATAATGCTGATTCATTGATTTGCATCTTCTAAACTCCCCGCAGGCTTACACAACGGCTCCGTGTAAGTTTCAAATGTCACAAAGATGATTTATGTTGTTAATTGTTGTTTGTTCACCTCGCAGAATCAAACATGAAAACATTGTGGCTCTGGAGGATATTTACGAAAGTTCAAACCACCTTTACCTCATAATGCAGCTGTGAGTATTTGATTTCTTTTCTAATTTCTTAAACCCTTTGCCGGATATGTCTGTGTATGTTGGAAAAAGTAGTATCAATCCCTAACAAATTCACTAAGATATATTTATTTTTTTGTTGTCACATTTTTCATAATAAATATCACTGTTATTCCAATGTAGAAATCTGTAGTGTATGGGCATAATAATTGGATCACTGTATTTCTTTAAACTCAAGGGCCTATACAGCGGTGTGGCCAATATATGCATTTTTATTTTGTTAGAGTATCCCCCGGTGGCCCATGAAAAATTTGGAAACAACTCTTATCAGCTGAGATTGATTATTATTATTGTTTATGTGAACGGCAGAAAGAGCTGACACGAGGAGATGCACGAAATACTAGGGACTTCATTTTGACTACATCCATGTTTAGTAGCATAAGGACGCATGTTTATTGTCAAAATTGGCATGGAGGCTTATGTTTGCTTCCTCAGAATTATTGTTATTTAGCTTTGTCCATAACAAATCAACAGTGCGTTAAACTCGTGAAAACCGTGTCCTGTCAGATTTGTTTGGCTCAGCTTTGATCAGCTGTTGGTTAAGTGTTACATTACAACATGAGAACCTGCAGCTTATATTCAAGTGTGGCTTACAGTATATGTCGACATAATGTACTTTACCTGTAAACATGTAGCTGTATTTGGCTGTTCTGTAATATTCATGTGCGCTTAAAAGCCCAGCAAGCACTGAAGGTATCGCACACAAAAAACTCTTGATGAGGAACAATTTCCAAAACAAGAAAGCATGGCACACTCAAAAATGGATCTTCAATATTCTGATGAAGGCTACAATTGCAAAAATCAAATGACTAATACTATTAGTCATTTGACTTATAGTACTATTAGTCATACTATACTATAGACATCTATTTTTGAATGAGCAATGCTCTCGTTTTTGTGTCCGTATCCAACTAAAATGTATTACAGAGGCATGATTACAATAATTACAATTCTGATGCTTTCTAAAATACTGTTCTTCTACTTTATGTGCACTGGGCTCTTGAATTTCAATTTGCATGTTTCTCTACAGTTAACTATTTTGTCACTTTATTTTTTAGGAACAAAACATTTGCTTCTGTTCTTGCGTCACACGCTGTATTTTAAATGTCAGATGTCAAAGCCACAAGATGCTTTTTGCTGTTCCTCTGTTAGCATTTCACTGAGTTGCGTCGTCATGATTTTCCCTCTTGATGCTATATTTTGTGTTTTTATGAGTTACACATCAGCAGTTCAGGCAGTGATGTTCTAGCCTTTTTGCAGCCCTGTTTCATAATGTCATATGGAAATGTCACCTTAAAAAGTGTGTACTGATGTTTGTCCTGTCGACCTTTTATAACTGTAACTCCGTTTAAGCATTTAACATTCCCATGTCAAAACTAATGCATTAAAAAACACATTTAAAAAGTACTTGCTGGAATATAAGTTGCTACTTTTTTCAAGTTCTTTGAACCCTGTGGCCTACAGTAGTATGCTAAGGTTTTGCAAATATTCATCATTAACTAAATTTAGGCATGTGCATAAATGTAGGCACCACAAAAGACAAAATAACTATATTTTGTACGTCCTACAGCCTCTAAACACTTCCTATTAAATTCTAGCGGAAGGAAATTTGGACCATTCTTCTTTGCAGATCATCTCTCGTTCAGGCAGGTTTGATGGGTTCCGAGCATGGACAGTTTTAAATCACACCACAAAGGTTCAATAATATTCAGGTCTCAGGACTGAGATGGTCATTCCAGGACGTTGTACTTGTTCCTCTGCATGAATGTCTTAGTTTGAGTTTGAGCAGTGTTTAGGGTCTTGTCTTGTTGTCTTGTTTCTTGAGGGGCCTCAAGAAATTGAATTTATTTTGACCAATTAGGAAGCTTGAAAAATATAAAAAGTAACTGACTTTAAATTACGTCTTGTCCAGTCACAACAGTCTGTGTCGGCTTCGTCAGCACCTGTTGCAGTTTTACAATAGGACATGAAAACCTGTGGCTTAGATTCAAGTAAATGTGGTAGAAATGACTTTCTCTTCAAATGTAGCTGGTGCCGGTTTATAGACCGAGGCGCTTAATAGTCCAGCAAGTACTGTATTTATTTCTGAATGGCTCCATGAACTTGCTTTTTCTCTTCATTGGATTTGAAGAATGGTGCAACTCTCTGAAACAATGATGACATTTCCTGTTTCCCGTTAGCCGTAAAAGCCCGTTTTTAGCAATGACAAACAGTTAATTTCTGTGACTGTTAAGAACATTGCACCACAATTCAAGAATACTGTACTGCACATCGTTGAATAAACACAACACGTAAAAACATTTCATTTTTTACATAAAATTAAACCCATTTGACAATAGTTTCAGCTTATCCTCTTGAGAAGTCAGGCCACTGCATAGAAAGTTCCCTGGAGAGATGGCTTACTATTTTACTACTTTGACTTATAAAGGGTTAACTTATTCTTGATGACTGAAAGTATGCTGCTGTGTTCTGAGTGAAAGCCGCGGTGGCTTATGAAAGCACTAACCTTTTACATGACGGCCTTTGGTCCTCTTTTAATTGTGAACAGGGTGTCGGGGGGCGAGCTCTTTGATCGCATTGTGGAAAAAGGCTTCTACACAGAGATGGATGCGAGTCGCCTCATCCGACAAGTGCTGGATGCTGTAAACTATCTCCACTCCATGGGCATCGTTCATCGAGACCTAAAGGTACGTCCCAACCTCCACCGCAGACTAGAGTGGTCTGTAGTTACTTGGATCACTTTCTGCACAGAGGAGAACAAATACTGGTTTTATGTAATGTCCACAGAGACAAAGTGGTGGGCGTTCAGTGCCTGATTTACAAAAGAAAATATCAGTGACTAGCTTTGAATCCGCAGACAGTGTTGCTGCTTGTTGCTTCTCTGATCCAACGGTGTACTTTTAGTGGCAATGTTGGTTTAGGTTGCACCACAGAAAATCGACTAGGGCTGTTGTATGAAGACTGTGGGGGCTGAAAAAATACATTTACAGTAAGAATCATCATTATTAGTACAAGTTTCAACTGGCACTGGCTCTGATTGCTGACCACACCTCTTTCCGGTTCCTACTATGCTGAATTATCCCATAGAGAATAATTTAGAGGTTTTATTCCGTTTGACATATCTGGCAATACCTTTCTTCAGCATTTCAAGAGATACATTTATTTGTCTGTAATATTTGTCTTTGTCAATATTCTCTCAAGTTCTGAGGCCGGAGCAGAGCAGCTGCAATCACACTGAGAGGAGATTACACTCTAGACTTGACTTAATAGTTAGATCGATATCTGACCATTCATCGGTCATTAGGAAACGTCGTAGAGCACTCAGAGAAAAGGAGGGTGAATACTTTTGCAGTTTTGTTTTTTTATTAAATGGTGAAATCATGTGTATCATTTTGCTTGCTGCATTTGTCTACCATTTTATGATGGTAGTTCACATAAAAAACAAACCACTCACTGTATGTAAGGTCACTTGTGGTTTGTTTTAATTTTTTCTGGATCTCTGCAAATGTGACTTTCCATATAATTGGATATTATTATGTTTACAAAGGACCAAGCTTGAGGACCATTGTCACAGTGATTGACAATGCAGACACATTTTTTTTCGAAAGTTTGAGCTGATGTGTTTTTCTCCTTTGTAGCCTGAGAACCTGCTTTACTTCAGCCCACACGATGACTCAAAGATCATGATCAGTGACTTCGGCCTGTCCAAGATGGAAGGCACTGGAGACGTGATGGCCACCGCCTGTGGGACCCCGGGATACGTGGGTAAACGTGATCTTTGAACCCTCGCTTACCTCCAATAATGACACGCAGAGGCTTGGACAAACATCAGCAAATCTAATCTGCAGTCGCCACGGTTACACAGCCATCTGCTACTCGCCGCTGCCACATTGAAATTCTCATCCAGCATATACTGAATTTATATATATTTTGACAGAATGTGTTCACAAATTCAACATGGTTTCTTTTCTTAGCCCCTGAGGTTTTAGCACAGAAGCCCTACAGCAAAGCGGTGGACTGTTGGTCAATCGGAGTCATTGCTTACATTCTGTAAGTATGTGTTTGATTATACCAACACTAGAATGAGGACAATTGTGTTTTATGTTTTATATCTATGGGTCATAATATTTTTTTCAACCAATGATCACTTCACAAAGATGTTAGGGAGTGGTTTGCATACGTTTTGAGTAATTTTAATTCAGATTCAGACAACTTCATTCATCCTGCCATCCATCCCATTCGTTTGAACAGAGTTGGGGCATAAAAGACACAGGAAATGTCATGGCACAAACTACATATAGCGACATGAATTGAGGCTTTTCTTTGATAATCCCATCCTCACGGCGAGCACACGCCCACTATTGTTGTTTTCTTTCTGCAGCAAAAGGCAGGCATGTTGCTACAAAAGAAAAACAACTCCACTGCTGCTATATAGAAAGTCAAGTCTGTAATGATCCATGGCTTTTATGACTAAAGTATCTAAAATCAAAAATCGATGGCGGGATGGATGGATGGATTCTAGATAATTTGAGCAGTATTGATACCAAATAAAATTGCATAAAACAAACAACAAATTTAAGTATTTTGATCCCATAAAAGGCGACATTTGTTGACTATTTTTTTCTAGTATTGAAATAGTTTGAAATTTAGTGTTGTGACAACACCACTGACTATATATGTAGCCTAAAATAGTTCTTCAACAAAAAGAAAAGCCAAAATGTTTGTCTTTGACTTTGCGATTTTCTCTGTTATCTTCTCAGGTCATCTTTTCAAAATAATGAAAGTCTTTTAATTGGGCGACATGCCGTTGGTCCTTCTAATTAAAAGAAGCATCTGACCATCAAGCCGCTTCATTGATCATTTTAACGCTAACATGAGGGGCGCGCTGGAAAGTGTCATCCGGACTTATTAAGTAAATTGGTGTGTCTCATTAACTGGAATAAAAATCCCCAGTCTTATCATTTCCAGAGGTATGGTGCCTTTTTAGATAATAGCCTCATGACGGACTTCCCAATCTCTTTCACAGTTCTAGCGTGATTGTATGTTTTTTTTTCTCCTCAGTGCTCATGTAGCGATTTTAATCTCTCGCAAGCCATCTCCCCTTGCATGCTATATTCAAAATCAAACTGCCACTGACTGAGATTAGGCCTGCGTAAATCCTTTTTAGATTTACACTGAAGTTTTTCCCACCAGCCAGCCTGGTCGATGGCGGCCTCACGTTAACTGTAATCCTGTCTTGTCAGGCTGTGTGGATACCCGCCCTTCTATGACGAGAACGACTCCAAGCTTTTCGAGCAGATCCTGAAGGCAGACTATGAGTTTGATGCTCCGTACTGGGACGACATATCAGACTCTGGTGAGTGGCAAATAAACCACTATTGTAAAGTAAACAAATCAAATTATAATTTGTAATGAAGTGGTGAGTTTTTCTGGGCTGGACATGATGTTGACCTTTTTCTGCTTCACCAGCTAAAGACTTCATCAGCTCGCTCATGGAGAAGGACCCAGAGAAGCGTTTCTGTTGTGACCAGGCGCTGGAGCACCCCTGGTGAGACACACCGCCCCTCGCTGTGCAGACACCAGATACTCTGCAGGAAGCTCACATCTCCTGCCTTTACAAGCGCTGTGACGTAAATCGGCCGCTTACACATTTGTCATGGAGTTTGTCCTCCCACTGTCATCTGTCACCATGGCACTAACCCACCTCTGCTCCCTTGGCCGCCCTCACACAGATTGGCTGAATAAATGGCTGCCAATTAGTGGCCAGCATCATGAAGGACCCTTGAAATTGTGGAAGCTTTAATGAACAATTAGCATGTCTCCCCTGTCCAGAGTTAACAGGCGTGTGCTGCAGCAGGAATAGGAAGTGAATATGTCTATTGGCTCTAATGGGTCTCAGGGCCAGGGGCAGGTGGTCTTTTCCATACAAATATGTGTTTTTCACAATGGCAGCAGGTGTCATAACTGAGAGAAATGGCTTTCATCGACAACATTTCACACCGATATTATGATGAATGTGACAGATAGTGAGGTGCTGGGCACGCTCCCATCAGGCTCGGCTGTAGCTGCAAAATGAAAATAAATGGTACTTGCAAATGGGATGGCAAATCCCTGTGCCTCATAGAGTCAAAATGTTAACTATGCTTTCTGTGTCCGTGGCTAGTCACAAATAACATGTTTAATTTGCAGGATTGCTGGAGATACAGCCCTCTGCAAGAACATCCATGAGTCTGTCAGCCGACAGATGAGGAAGAATTTTGCCAAAAGCAAATGGAGGGTGAGACTTTATCAGCTTCATAACACAAATGTCAATAATGCTCAAATTTTACAGCGATTAATCAGTGTGTTTATCTAATTGTACGCAGCAAGCCTTCAACGCCACAGCAGTGATCCGGCACATGAGGCGTTTGCAGCTGGGCAACAGTTTTGGCAGCAGTATCTCCAGTTCCAACTCTGTGTCTGCTGCTCAGAGCCGTGGCCCAGCCAAGAGTCAGTCTGTGGACTGTGCACCGCTCTCCCTTAAGGACTGTGAGTGACACTTCAGCAGCTCTGGTGAACTGTTTCGCCCTCGAGCCACGAGTAACCCTTGAACCACGAGTAACCCTTGAACAGGACTCTGCATTTAAACCAATGACATATAAAAAGCTCTTGTTTTTATAGATGATGATAGTTGTAAAACATTTTGTAAATGTAAACATTAATAATATGTTTATGGATCTGTGTTACATCAGTGTAATGTTGTCCAGTAATCACCTCATTCTCATCACACAGGTACTCCTATCACCCCACTGCCCTCTGCTGTCAAAGCCTACACTCAGGACTCTGGGCCCCCCTCTCCAGTGCGGGAGGAGTCCCCTGTGGTGCCAGAGGTGCCCCGGCCACGCCCCTCCACGGTCACAGTCATCCACACTGGGACTAAATGACGCCAGGTTCCGCGGGAGGTCAGCTGGGAGACGACAGAGCTCTGAGACGGGACACAACCTGCTCTCAAAAATCCAAGTCGTTTATTCACCCAGTTTGCTCATTCCGCCACCTCCTGTCTGTTTCTTGAGGAGGAATTCATTAACGAAGGGGCTCATTTACTACGGTACAGAGGGTGCTGGTCTTGTGGCCGTCATTGAGACCTGGAAGTGCAGTGTAGGAAGGCTCCACGCTCATGTTTTTGTTGTGGACATGTATCCTCGGCCACTGCTGAAGGGGTCTGGTCTGGGAAATCGTACACTAATGGTTACTAAAGCTGCTGTTGTTTTTGACTGTGAGGAGCATCTCTCTGAGGTTTTCCCATTGTAATGCCTTGTGTAAATATATTCTGCCAGGACTTCTTGTGCAGTGGAGTAATGTTATGCAAGTGAATCATTGGCTTGATGCACTGGTACATAATCATGACTGCATCTGCACTCCTCTGACAGTTCTTGTAAAGATGTTGTGATATTTGATTTTGCTACACGTGGTCATAGCTCAGACCAGTGAAGACCATTGTGTTTATTTGCTTAACAGTGCGTGGACTGGCCTGTGTTCTTCAGATCTACTGAGGCTCCACAAACATCTTTCTTATGTTGTGCTCTGGCCTTTCAGTCAAAGTTACAGTGTGAATTGTCAGAACTGGGACTAAATCAGCACTTATACAAATACAAACTGGACAACCACAGATAATGGTGAGAGGGTTTTTAGTCTTAAATTCGTATATTGGCCCTGTACTCCTCTGTTGGCTTACAGTCCTATCTGTGTACGATTTGTAAAAAAAAATATGGACAATCTTTGCTGTAACACAGAGAAGTTGATAAAATTAATCGGTCAGGATGTGCAGGATTTTGCAACGACTTGACGGATGTTCCCGAGATCTCGGCTGCATGGCGTGATGTGGTTGTTGCTCATTCTACAATCATGGTGCAATTAATTGAATGGACAATTGTCGTGAATTATTTATTTTCTTACAATGTATCAACGACTTTTGTAAGAAATTGTTCATGTGTATCAAGACATTTCACTGAATTGAGATAAATATGTGACAATTTCAGCTTTAGTTGTTTTGGATATTGATTTTAACTGTGATTCTCCTCCACCACTAGGGGGCGACTCTGTGTTGTGGCTTTATGACCATTTCTCAGGGAATGTGCTTTAACATGAAGTGAACCAAACCTTTAAAGTGATAGCGCCGTGCTGGTTTTTGAGATGGGTCAAAAAACTGAAACAGAAATGTCTAGATATAGTTCCATACTAATGTGCCATTGGGTAACCATGACTGAAACCTATTCGATGGTTTACCTTTTAAAGAAAATCAGAATACAGGTGCATCTCAAAAAATATGACATTAGGAGGAGGTGTTTTATATATTTATTCTATCTCACTTCCCCTCTAATATATAGTGTATCTCAGAATTGTCATAATATAGTGCATGGAAACACTCAAATCCTTCAGGAGTATTTATAGAGGCACCAAATCTTTTTCTTCACTGTGGAATTCACATTTTATCATTACAATTCAAATATGTATGTATGTGTTTATTTTTCAAAGATTGTGGCATTTCATGTTTTTTGACATGCACCTATAAAAGTTTTTTTTAATGAAAATATTTAACTGATGTCTGTACTCAGCAGTGACAATTACTGAATGCAAATTTACAAATGCAAATGTATCATGATAAAGATTGTTCCTATTTAAGCAGATATTTAAAACTCAGTGGCGTGCAGTTCAGTGGTTGAAATATCGTGGCTCACTCGGTCTCTGTGTAATCACTGTGCTTTCATACAAACCTGTTGAATTTTACAGACTTTGCACTGCCAGGAGAATTCCCTCTTATATTTTCTCTGTGGCTTTAGCTGTATTTGATTTCTTATACCAAAGGGTTGTTTTCACTGTTGTCATTTATCAAGGGAGGAGGGGCAGAAACATATCTGGTATGTACCTGGACCTGGCTGTGTCAATAAAGTTTGATGTTTTGGGCCATGTTGGGTTTGGGCTTCACAATTGCCTCAAACGCATTTCAGAAAATATTTACAGTACATTTATTTTCTATTAAAAATACATTCATTAATTATATGTTGAAAAAAGTTATTTTAAAAATCTCAATCTCATAATTCCTGTGTCAGACAATACATTTAGACTGTTTATATAAATAATGAAAAACATAGAATAATGCTTCTGCCTGACAACAAGACGAAAGGTACAGATGGTATCATTAACAAATCTTCAAAATATGCTCCAGTCAGGAGACATTTGCCCAAATTTAAGTGAATACTTTGCTTATCCTGAGTCCCTTTCTTAAATAATTGCAGTTTTTCCTATTTGCTAATTGTGCAGACCTAATATTAGATGTATTCATCCCGTTATTTTATTGGACTATAATGAACTTAAGTTACAAAGGCCAAACACTGATGTGAAAGAATACAAAAAGGGGGTTTGACTTTTATCAAGTCTCAGTGAGGATTTGAAATTAATTTATAAAATACAATCTTATATTTTTGGCTGACATCCTTGGACGTGACATCAACAGTAAAACAACCCTTTCACTTGAACTCAGACCACATTCTCGAGGGCTTTCTGAACATTTCCAAAAATCTAATCCTGTGAAAAGCCTTTACTGTAAATACAAATATCAACAAGAGTTGTTTGGGTCTCGAGTGTTTATTTTGTCTTCCCACTAATTTTCCCCGAAGCTGCTCCACGTAACTTTTCTGGTGGCGGAGATTAATCTGGAATTCATATATTCATGTTTTTAAGCTCCTCTAGATTCCTCTGAACTATAACTTGACATAATTACTTCAAACAGTTCAATATTGATAAGTTTAATACCAATAGAGTTCAGGCAAAGAAACGTCCACCAGAAAAGTTACATAGTGCACCTTTAAAAACAAGAAAACACAAATCTGTGAGTCTGCATGTTTCAAACTGTTCTTTGTAGATGCACGTATTAAAAGCAGGCTTTTTGCAAGTGTCCCTCTTTATTCTCTTAAATACCACTTATTTGGGCTTAAATGATTACGATATATCATGTTAGTAAGTTGTAAATAGACATTTTAGCACAAACTTAATATATATGACAGCTTTGTTCTAAAGGCAGTTAAAAGAGAGAAACTTATGGTAATATAAAATAAGTGTGTATCCAGCTTTTGTTATTATTATTGGCCTCTGTCACACATTTAGACTGAGAAATGGGAGGCATCTCAGCTTTAAAATAGAACATATACCCTTAACAAATCCCTCAGGAGTAAATGTGGCAATTATTTATAATGTTGCATGGTGTGATTATAGCAATTCTATGTAATTTTGTATTTAAATCTCAATAGCAACTTATAGCAAGCATCAATCCAATATGTCACTTCTCTATCCAGATTTTGTTAATAGGAAATATTGCAGTTTTTTTCACCCAGTCTGTATTTGAATATATTGTTTTTATCAATACCAAAAACGTGTCTTATTACGTGTATATCTCAAATGGACTGGCGGTTGTAGTCTTGCGGAGGGTATCTGCCATCATAATGGAACTCCCTCCACTGCTCTGTGCTCTCCCTGGTCCGCTCGTCTTGCTCTGCCACAAACCAAATCAAACCAAATCAAAAAATGTATTAAAAAGATTTTTTTATTATTGCAGTTTTTCTACATACCGTCACTTTGCTCCTCGGCGTGATTCTCGTACTCGTTCCTTTTCTCCTCATGGAACTCTCTCCTCCTCTCGTCGGCGGCCAGTACCTGTCTCTGTTCAGCTGAGGGCAGGACAATGTTAATGTCAATAACATTTTAATTCTGTTTTTCGAAGGCTTTTTCAGACGGCCAAGTATTTTAAACAGAATCCTAAGTAAAAGTATAGATACTTGTATACAAACATACAAGAAATGTTATCTTGTATGTGAAATACATTTGTACTATTATAAAGTATATACAATATATAGTATTTCTACTATTTTATAGTACTAATGTAAACTTAATCATATATATATGTTTTTAATATTGTTATGTTACACAGTTGTGATATGACAAACCTGTTATTTCATTAAACTTGGAAGCATTCGCTTACCACCAAGTGAATAAATGAAATTAGAAGCATGAGTAACCTCAATGAATGAATGAATTAGAAGCATGGCTAACCCAAATGAATTATTAAATGAACATAGAAACATTAATGAATTCACTTTGAAGATTTTCTGACCACCATGAATAAATTCATTTATATTTTATATTTTGTGCTTTAATCTTCAAAGTAACTGTTAATTTTTCAGAATGTAAGAGGTAGAATGTACAGATATTCTAGTTTAAAAGTAAGGAGTAAAAGTAAAATGTTAAAACGACTCAAGTAAAAAGACTTAGTTACTTGCCCCCGCTGTAAGTGGCTGTGGTATGGAGACCTGAGGAGCTAGGTCCTGACATTTGACCTGTTCCTCCATTATCTGCACAAGTTGATACATGCTTTGCACACGGCGACATTTTGGAAATGTTTTAACTCTGTATGGTTGGATTTCTGCATCTCATGACCTAATATACCTAATATAATAATAAGACATGTTCAATGCCCTACAGCTGCAACAGGAAAGGCATTTGGCACCAAAGAATGAAGACACAGTGAGTGTTTCCACCTCTCGCTGTGTTCACTAAAACTACAGTGCATTTTTTTCACTTCTTGTTGGCAGAGGTAGAAAGTTAAACACTGAACTGGATGTGAACTGTGTAGGCCTCATACAGGGGCATAGAACCCCCCCTCTCTGTCTCACTCTATCTCTCTGTGTGTGTGTGTATGTCTCTCTCTCTCTCTCTCTCCCTCTTTCTCTCTCTCTCTCTCTGTGTGAATGGTAGCTCCATGTTGGCCCGTGGTTCCTGCAGCAGACAGGTGCACTTCAGGACAAACGGCATGTGGTTTTACAGAATATATACTGTATATATATATATATATATATATATATATAGTCAAGATATTCAAGGTACACAATAATGAGTATGAGTAAATTAACTAAAGTGACAGCATTTTCACTAAGTGCTGCAAATAGTTGAATGATGTTTATATATATATATATATATATATTTATATATACACTATTTAAAATCACAAGTCAAGTCTGATATTGTTAAGAAAGGAGAGTGTGTCGTGCAAAAGTCCACATCGACCTCAGACACACGCACTGGTGGAGTTGGCGAAACTTCAGGACAAACAAACTCAGGGTAAACTCACCATTAATCTCATCCTGGGACTTGGCCGCCCTCCTGCTGCGTCGTCTGAAGAAGTTTGACGCATCAGCTTCCTCTAAGAAGATTCCTTTGAAAGGTCCTGGATAAAGAAAGGATTTATGCTGCTGAAATAGTGAATGTGTGTGGAGCGGAAACAGGATTCTCAGAAAGGTTTTAAGTCTACAAAATAAATGTACTACAGTTATTACAAGCCTCCTATTACTATAAACCAGAAATACATTTACCTTTCCCATCCTTCTCAGTGTTGTCGCCGGGCACAGCTGCAGAATCAGCCTCTGGGGAAACTGAATCAAAACACACACCATTTCAAAAATACCAACACAGTATAAAACAATGACAGAACATGACATTACAAATGTCTCACTCACAAGACAGGGCACAGAGGATGGTGAGCAGAGCCAGCAGTGAAGCAGAGGTCCACGACATGTTTAAGACACAAGGTGAATGTTGGAAGGCGAGAGTGAAGCCGGAGGGTCATCAACAAGAGGGAGGAGGGGACCAGTGGACAAGTCTGGAGGAAGGCTGGACACAGGAAATTGCTGAATATTTGAGCAGTGCTGCAAAAAAGCCTTACAAAAATTAGTTTTTTTCCGAAATTGGGGCAATCTTAATGGCACGTACATACACGTCTTGAATAACTGGGCTGAGTCTGGTTCACTTGAGGGGTAAAATGCGACACAGATCTGTTTCAAAAAATGACACTAGTGGACACATCTTGGTGGTTTTACATCCCCACATAAAGACTTTTTGCCCAAAGTGAACCAGAATTGGTCCAGTTAAAGTGAACCAGACCAACAAGTGTGAACGTGCCCAAAGAGTCTTGTATTTCTCTGTTTGTATGAATTTATTTGACTATTTAATGAGATTTATGAAGCATTTTTATATATTGATCGTTCTGCAAAGTAGTATTTCATTCTTATGACTTAAAATTACAACAAACACATTGTAACTTTGCAGTCTGAAACCCAAATCATTAACAAGACATTTTCTTTCTTTTTCAGAAGACGACCATCACATAATAGAGCAATCTGGGAAAAAACTATAACTTATACACATACATTTCAAACCATCACAAACTAATCTTTTGTCTTTCTAGTTGTGTTTTTTTGCTTTTTTTAAGCATAAAAACATTCATGATAATAAATGTGGTTGGCACCCATACTTACTGCATAAACAGGTAATAACCTCCGGACAAGTGTGCTTTCTCCACAAATCCTACTGGAAAAATTCAGCTCTGTTGGCCTGACTTTTTTTTAGCTTCTGGATCGTGGCGTGTGCTCAGGAAAGAGACCAGGTTTGTACTGTGGTGTATCGCTGATTGTTGATTGAGATCATTTGGGAAATTTAGGAATTAAAAGTGACCTTATCTGTTGACTAGAACTTGCAGAAAGAGTAATTTGGATCAGAAAATTAGTTGCCTCAAGGAAGTTTGAAAACCAGGACTGTTATCAAAGAAAGAATAAATATACCTCAATGAGTTAAAAACAAGTCTTTCTGTTGGAACAAACTAATTGTTTGTAATTTTAAATCTTCTATGGTATATGCAGAGTTTAAAACAGAGGTTGGCACATTTTAACACCAAAACAGAATTTTTTATGAGAAAAAATATGAATAGTCAAGAGCCACCAACTGTTTAACACCATCCATCCATCTTGTTCCCCTTAATCCATTTCTGGGTCGGGGGGGTGGCAGTCAGAGCTGCACCCAGTCACAGAGCACCAGCCCCTCACTGATCCTCCTGTAGGTGTTGAGTCCACAGGAGCTGAGATCTTTCAGTGGGGGCTTCAGGCAAAGTGGGGTTAAGTGTCTTGCCCAAGGACACAACGACAGCAGACATCAGTGGGAGTCATGAAGTAGGTCTCATGGTGGGCTTGAACCACCACAACCTTCAGACCCAAAGGCCAATGCTCTACCAACTGAGCTACTGTTGTATGCACAATGGCACAATATGGAATTGTGCCATTGTGGTAAAAAAAAAACTGTAACAGTCACTCAAAAAATGAGCATAGACTGTAAATATATATATATATATATAAAGCTATGAGTAGTACCTGTACAGTAGCGTTGTCACTCTGTCACCACTAGAGGGCGCACCAAATTCACTTTCCCCTCGTCCTTGTAATGACAGCCCGCGGCCAGCAGTGGGCACTGTTCGCGGGGGCGCTATGGTTGTGTCAGCAGCAGCAGCAGCGGCGGCAGCAGTATCAGCAGTGGCAGACGCAGTGCTCTCACTCAGATCAGGACCTAATCCGCTCCGTGTCTCACTCTGCCATGGTCTGCACTCGGAAAACTCACACTGCTGCTTTCCTTTCCTCTCGGAGACTGAAACTTTAACGAGCTCCGTCAGAGGGAGAGCCATGTCTGTCCGCGCCGCAGCCCGCGCATAACGCACAAGTCTCGGAAAGTAGTAGCTTCCACCACCGCCGACAGCAGCAGCAGCAGCAGCCGTGTTTGGAGCTTTCTCACCCGGACGAAACCACGGCGTCCAGCCTCAGGACAAGCTCCGAGGTGGGGGAATCCGGCCGGACACATCGTTTCTGGTAAGTTTCTGTGAAGTCTATAAACCAGTCCTGCAGCTTTTGTTCTTTTAAAACCCAGAAACCCTTGCGTCCTTCACGTCTTTTCCTCGGCGAGATGGGTTAACAATGCGGCAATGTTTACTTCACCAGCTGCGATTGTATTGAGCTATTCATCCTGTCCTATCACAGTTTTTATATAAACAAACTGTAACTATAGCTTTACGTACTCCCTGGGGCTTTAAAAGTTCAACAGTGCTTCCTCCATGATGGGTTTTTGGGGAGTAGGAGTTGATTATTGCGTCGCTACTAAAGATGCATTCACGTGTCATGTAAATTCCATTACTAAATTTATTGTAAAAATTCCCTCATGAATATCCAAATGCTATTTAAAGTTTCCTTCTTTCTTAAAAAACGCTAATCTAATATATAATTATGCTTGGATTTTACTGCGTGGTGCGTGGTCGCTTTTCACCACTGCATAAACAAAACATGCAGTGGTGAAAAGCGACCACTTTTCAATAGAGTTTCAAAATAGAGTTTCAAAGCGTGCATTGCGTGGAACATCTCGCATACTTGAAACCAAAACATACTCGACTCTTCACTGAATAGCCTGACATGAGCCTGACCCACATTACAAACGCGTCTTTCTGGTCCTGAGTGTGACAACATTTATCTTGTTAAAATGCCATTAGCTGAACTAACTAGTGGATGGAATGTCCAAGTTTGAGCCCTTAACTTAGAACCTTTAAAACCACTGCTTCTTTTGTGTGGGGCAAAGTTTCACTCAGGGCTGAATGGATTTCTGGCCACTTTTCCTGTTTGATGCAACTAGTGTTGAGTGATCAGGATGTCCCACAGAAGAACAGGATGATGTGGATTCAAGGGACCGCGCTGATGTCACCATGGGTAGGAGAAGGGTTTAGATGGTTGTGTTCAACTTGAGAGGAAGTGTGAAAACAATATTGTCACAGCGGAATAGAGATCTTTCCAAATATGTATTAGTGAAGCCTAAAAGCATCAATACATAATAATGTATTACAAACTTTGATTATACTTTAATGTAATCATTTTTTTATTACTTTTAATCATGTGTAACTATAGGGCATCAAACTTTATGGCGTGACATTGCTCTATATTGAAAGATACTTAATGTTTTTGTAATTAAGATCTTATGAAACACTCCTTTAGTTTTCTAAATCATGTATTGATCCTTTTAGTGACAGTATTTTCAGAAGTTGGATATGATACTGACATAATGGCAGCCTTAAACTTTATAAGAAAAAGATATCCGCCAAAAGTGTGATCACAGTAGTCCAGTTCTCAGGTCTCTGCACTGGCTTCTTATGGTTCAGAGAGTAAATTTAAATCAGCTCTGCTAAAGGCATGCCCAGAGTCAGAAATAAACATGGGAAGGCTGCATTTCAGAGGCTTTTTTGCCTTGTGTGTGAACTATGCTATACAAATAAACTTGCCTTGCCTAAAAACAAAACAAAAAGTAAAAACAATAAAAATGTAGGGAAACGTTTGTGGGAACCCAGGTCACTTTATAAAATGTGTCGTGGAGTAATGAGTGCCGAAAAGGGTTATAAGAGCTCGTACTTTTGTGGAAAGTAAAATAAGATTATCGGATTACAAAAATATTAGACCGGTGCAGTATTATGCCTCTTGGATAATACTGCCGTTTGATTGAAAATAGTTTAATATCTTTTGTTATTATTTTTTAGCAGTTTTTTACCTTAATTCTCAAACGTCACAGTCAAATAAATAGCATAATGCTAACTATAACTACAGCAATCTCAAGTGGAGGGACATTGGCTGTCACTAATAATTGAAGTGTTGTCTAAATGTTTGCTTATATGGTGGCTCATAATACCATCCTCTAAGCAGAGTACTAGCAGGAGTCCAGGGGGCTATGGGGGACACCTGGCCCGCTGCTTTGACGGGGCTGTTCCCTTGGTGAGGGCCTTGGGGAGGATGATGAGGGAGGAAACCAGAGCTGCTGTGGGCAGCTGTAGCCGCACGGCTCAGATCCCTGCAGCCTGGAGCAGATGATTGACCAGAGTGTGACCGTCCACTGTCCTACTGCTGGGGGCACTGTAAGGGCAGGGGAGGCGTGATTAGAAGATCATGCACATGATCTCTCTCTTTCTGTTCTTTGTACTGATGCTACAGTGGTCTTTTGTAACTCTGCCGCAGGGGATTTTAGTGCCGTCATCAATTTGTATTTTCAATGTTAGTTCTGACGAAGACTCAAATTTGCAAACATTATCAAATGTAAGTTTAGATAACTATTAATAGACCGACATCTATGACGACACCCATGCAAAACTATGTTAGCCAAATGCCACCATTGGCCCATTTTGGAAGTATGTTACCTTGCACACTTAGTTGCATCTTGGTGTTATGGCTTGCTTTATAAACATTTGTAGATCTGGTCTCCTCTTTGCTGGAAATATCACTGAAGGATTGTGTAGCCCTAAATAATCAGACGTCTGAAGTATTTTGGACTTTTGCACTATTCTTGTTGCTCAGTTTCTTATTGGTATGGCATCTGACTGGTATGTTACAGCTCCATCTCCTGTGTTTTCTGCAGTTAGTGTAAATGTGAGTAGTGTGTGTGGTGCACTCATGTTTTAGTGCGAGTCCAAGACAGCTGTCTGAAGGTTAATGTGTCACCGCTCTCCAGGGAGCAGCTGCTATGTGACGGGCCGCGCTCCTGTCTATACATAGCCCCAATACAAACTCCTTCTCCTCCACAGCCACATCGGAGCTCCGTCCATGGCATGCAGCCAGGCCTCTTCGATGCATTTGGCTTTACGGGACAAATGTGGCAGTTGCTAGTATGTTTGGCCAGCGCGGCAGCCCCCTCCATCATTCCCGGTGCTTTCAGATCTGCCCAGTATGCCCGGCCCCTAATCCAGCTGGTTTGGTTGAGTTATACAGTAATGGAGCATATTGGCCCAGTCATTTGCTGCCCTCGTGTCCCAGACAGGTGAGGGACAAAAATTACAAGAGCTATTGGCTGCATCAAAAACACATGTTGCCTGTGCTTGATTAGGAGATGCAGACTGCACACAGTTTGACTCAATAAACCAGCTTTATTGACCAGCTTTATTGTACAGGTTTAGCAGTACTCTGATGTTTGGTAGTAGATGGGTGCAATGACGCACATAGAAAAAGATAACACCATAACTCTACTCTTTGCTGTTATAATAAAAGACACTAGGCCGCTTCTGGGACGATGTAACAGGTGATGGCTTCATAAGTGACCTGACAAGATCGGGCCCCAGTGATTATCACTGTTATGGTCCTGGATGCTGTCATATCTCGCCAACTCATCTCCCTTTTTTAAGGTTCTTAATAAAATGACACATTATTTGGGGCTGTTTGGAGTGATGGTTGCTCCTGGCTCCTGATCCTATCTCTCAGCTGATCCCTGTATCTTGGCCTGGACACAGCTGGATGCACAAAGCTTATCTGGCCTGGCCTTTTATCTCAATCAAAACCACTTTGTCAGACCAAAAAAAGGATGAGGATTTAGATGTTTATAACAAAGCATTACATGCATTTCCTTTTTTTACAATTGTTATTTTTCATTAGGATTAGTCATCAATCATTTGCAATAATTATCCACTGTATACTTAAGTTTAGGTATACTTTATTTTCTCCACAGGGAAATGTTACTTGACTAAGCTGTAAGAGAATGGCGCCCAGGGACCAATCTCCAGATTTTGATGCTCGGCTTGGTCAGGACTACTGAAGCTGGAGGATTTATACCAATGGTTTTCAGTGGTGGGGGAAACCTTCTGCAGATATTTGCTGCCACATGCATTGCTAAAACCCCTGTATAAATTGTGAATCAACAATCTCCCGCTATAGGAAGGAATTTTGTGAATGGCTGTACAGGACCTGTTTGGCAGAGATTAAAACGTTACGTTTACAGCGTTGTATTCATTATAGCTGCAGTGTCTCGCACATGTGCTCTGTGCTGCTGTCACTCAAGCCACTGTTTCCATGGCAGCAGTGTTAATCAGCTGCTGTTGAGTCTTGCTGCGATAAATCTACAGTTCTGCGCCAGTGACCGGACCTCCCCGCCGAGTGTCCCCTCTCCATTGTCTCCACTGTCCAACACTTTTACAAATGAGCACAGTGTTTGCCAGTAAGGCGGCACAAATTTTTAAAGAATCATCTAATTGTGATTTCAGATTACCATTGCGATTATAATTTACTAAGCCAGTATAACACAAAAAAGGGAAAGTACGTCTGTGGGCCCAGTAAAGCAGGTGCGCTTTGATGGTCCAAGCGGTAAATGCGGAGAATGACGAAGATCCGAGGCACTCATGACTAGTAAAATAAATGTCCTTTAATGGTTAATCATGGGATATATCGTCTAAGTAGGGCTGGGCAATAAATTGAATTTAGGCAATTAATCGGCGTTTGGAAAAAAATCTAATTTATGAAAAATGTGAAAATTGTGAAATCGAATGAAGGATATTGGGAGAGCAGCACATGAATTATACTTTCAGTATCAGCACAGTCTGTACAACACTTTTGTATTACGTATTGGGGGAAACAAATTAAAAATAGTTTTGAAACTTGAATATTGAGCGGAAAGATAAAACAATATTTTTAAGGGCAAAGCAGGAAATAAAATCGAGATTTTACTTTTTTGCCATATTGCCAAGCCCTACGTCTAAGGGTCTTTTTCAAGGCATGAAGCTATAATAGTGTTCAAAGTGCATGAGGTATTCAAATTGGAATGAGAACTGAAACCTAAGGTTTTTTTTGATTGGTTAATTTCTGTCACAAAAAAAAGCCTTGATTGCAATGAACCTAAGTTAAAAAAATTATGTTTATCTGCATATTTCTGCCGTTGTTAGACAAAATCGCATTGGTTCTTCAGCTGGCTTTGTGGCTACAATCTCTCACGCAGGGTAGCTGAAAAAAGTGACCTGGAGATGGGCAAGTGCAGTACAATAGTATGATCTACTGACCTACTGCTGCCCCAACATGTGTCCCAA